AACTACAGGCATGGGGAGGAAAAGTAGGTAGCGACGGCTGTGCGTACAAAACGGAAAAATTCGCTGTACGAAGATTAATCGATGCTGCACTGGAGCATTGATTTCTTCCGATTTTTCAATTCCTTAGGCGCTTCTTCGTTGCATTCAAGGAATGCCCCACTGCCATGCGTAGGATATGAATTGGACACGCAAAAGTTTTTGGTCATAAAACAGTTCACGGAGATCAACCTTATAACATGCAACTTTCTCAATACATACTTGTCATATTTATTGATCCAACACAGCATATTGTATACCGGTTAAAAATACAATCAATTATCTTCATAAATATCTAGGTGGTGTATGGCGAAGGCTGAGCATAAATTGACCACCCCCACCCTTTCCATTTTGAAATATTGCAGATCCGATTAACAGGATCACGCCGAGAGAAGCACTCTCACCAGTTCATGTCAATATCATCTTAAAACACACATCAATAATATGAGGTGATCACTTTGGTGGAAATCCAGGAATCATAGTCATCACCTTCAGAATACAATCTTATGTCAGGAAACTTCGATGTCATTGTGAGTAAAGATCAGGAATGATATTCAAGAAACTTGTATGCAAGGGTAAAGAGGAAGAAAACTATGTGGAATATGTTCAATCTAAACAAAGAGAAGGGGCAGAAATGGTAAGGGACAGACTATGGCGATTACTCGCGATTCCTATAGGATCCTGTGGGCGAATACCACAACGCAACACTTGGATTCAAAAGGCCCGCGATTATGGAGACTACATATATTTCGCAACACAATTCCCACAGATCACATATCCAGTCATTCATAGACGTCGTCACACGTAGCACATTGTCTTTTTGGCCTTACTTTGTTTTTATATACTCACTATCTTATTTTGTAGCTCTTTTATGTCTTTGATTTGTTTAAGCTCATTGGTATCAGTGTAACCTCACAGGTTTTTTGTATCTCATTACTTATCTCGGCCGTTCTATCTCTATTCGATGTTTAACTTTATCATATTCTGAACGAAGTGTATTTTGTCACTATTATCTAGTTTTTGGTATTGTGTACTGGCGTGTACATTTTACATCAAAGGTTTAATTACCCAAGTTTGAGGCTACATCCATCCAGCCATCCATTCGGCTCTCCTACAGAACAGTTCACCTATCATCTTTCATTGGATTGCTAGAGGACATAAAGAAGTCTTATCCTCGTGATCGTGGTTTGGAACTTGGGTAAAGGAGTACAGACAACCGCGTGGCAGTAACAAGGGCAAGGCGGCTACTCTGTGGTTATTCGAGATATTCACACAATTTGGACGACTAGTTTCTATACAGACAGCTTTTTTTGGCAGTTAGAGTGAGGGGAGGAATATTTCGGTAGTGAGATGACAGGGGGTTTTCTTCTATTCACAATGGATATCGCATTTACGCTTCTGTAGAAAAAAAGGTATGAGGTACATAAACACCTTGGAATGTCAGCTAATGAAACTGGAACTTTGACAAATACCACATATTATACAATTTTAAGGCAAGTCAGAGCAACCAGACCATCTTCAACCCAGCTTGAATCTAAAGGTCCTCATTTTCCGACCAAGTTTCTTGCAAGGAATAAAATCCTCGCGTAAGGCGTTCGTTCGTAGGTAAATGCAGACATGCAAAAAATTATGAAACTCCCATCGAGTTCAACGGGGAACTAGATTCATCAGCTGAGGAAAAATCGATAACGAAATGCAGAAAGAAGAAAAATTCGCATAAAATATGTGAAAAAAAGTAGAAAAAATTGATTATGGGGGGCAGGTTTAAGAGACCGCACACCAACCCGCTTCGCGGATCCCTTTTTCCCGCCTTTAACGACCACCCACCCACCTACCCACCACCCCTTCGGTGTTTGCCATAGTTCAATTATCTAGGATGGTCTATTCGTCGTAGTTTGCATCCCATAAGACAAAGCGATCTACAGTACGCAGTCAGGTACAATATTAGAAAGTTCATTTTGCACCTCAAGCGGACGAATCCCAAAGAAATAGGGTCTCTCGGTTAGGACCGTCAGATTTGGATACACTGGTCGATGAAGGTTCTGTGCGCAGGGGTCCGAAATTTCAAAAAAAAAATCCCACGAAGCTTTCGAAAAAGTGCTTCAGCTGATGTAAGGCAGCTTCTGAGTCCGACAACTTTCAATCATGATTTTGCCCCTGATCACGGAATACTCAGCCGGTGGAAAGAAGCACTGGACGGAATTGGATGAGGAATTCGGAAAACTAAGACCAGCAACAAGCGTTAACGGCATCAATTCTCGCTACAAGGTGAAGAAATCGCTTAGTAGAACTAAAAAAGTTGTAAATTCTGGTGAAACTCAATATCTGAAACCAGTTTCGCTCTGTCTAGCTGGTAGTTTTGACAAGGTGCCTGCCACAGCACACGTCTCAAGAATAGCCAGCCGTTTTACTTGAAATCCTTGATCAACCCTGGGTTACCCCTTGTTTCAAGTTAGTGGTCGGGCAAGTTGAGATGTATCTAATATGATGGGCTGAGAAAGGAACATGCGATTCGAGAGGGCAGTGGATAACAAGGCAATTCAGTACGTGCAAAGTCGATGGTTCGGATTTCTGGGGGTTAGTTATGGTAAGGCATTTGAAGAAGTAAAGGGTAAAGAACATTTTCGCTTATCAGAGCTTTCTATTGAATCGTAGCGCTTTCTAGCATTTCAATGAATTGTTCTTCAGCTTACCATCTTCTTTCTTGAGCTTCCTAAAACGTAGACGGGAAATTCATGGAAGATCATAGCAGGAAAGCATCTGCACCGAGGAGTCCATCTCCCAACAAGGACACAAATGTGCA